TTTGCTGATCAACAATCTCCTGTTTTTCACAATTTCTACTACTCTTAATAGGAGCCATAATTTTACAACAACATTTAATCGGTTCATTACGAATCAACAAAACTGTACATACAACAAGCCAGTAATTAGTTTTCACAACATTACACCAATTCAGTAAGTAAGAAGTCGGAAGCAGATTCTTCCAACATTTGTGTTCCCATAAGTTTAATTACCTTTGGCTTAACCGAACATCTCCCAGGTTGCCTCACAACGTAAATCTGATCCCCAACTTTATTGTACATGTCCTGATTACGGTGCCATGTCCAAAGAGCATGTGTCTCATTCTTCACCTAAATTTGCATCAGATATCAAGTATAAATAAAGCAAATTGCAAAATTATTCATTCTAGTAAACCCATGCCTATTTAGGCGCATTCAGAGCCAAAAAATTTCTGGATTCAGCTGGTGGGCTATTTGGCTATTCTGGCTGTTGTCTCTAGCTGTAATTACGTGGTTTTTAGTTTTTATAAAATTTCTATCGTTTCGAAAAAAAAAAAAAAAGAAATAACGATAAGAAGAGCAAAAGGGAGATGGCATACCTCTAGGATTCCATGGCCAAAGCTGGTTTCCCTATATGCGCTATATTCAGGTTGTCTGTCCCAGCAAAACTTGCCGGCAGCTGGGCCCCGCGTGAAATTATATGCACAAAATCCACCCATAAATTGATCGGGCGTGGTAGATGGTTCAGGGCAGTAACCGGGATCATCAGAGTGCGTTATTGCCATTTTCTCTCTATTTCCACCATCACCAATCGCTATGTAGACTGGTCCACATGGATCAAGTGTATAGTTGTACACTCTGTTTGACCTCTCATAAGCGTGAACCTGTCAAAATTTTCACTTTGCCTATGTCAATGAAATTTATTTTAATAAAAACAAAAATGAGAATGTAAACGATAAAAAGGAAACAAAAAAATAAAAATAAAAAAATAAAAAGCAACAGGAATAGGGTCCTCTTATTATTAGTATTTCTAAGGACTTTTAAAGACTTTCGAAATTCTGGTGTATTCAATTTAGAGTTGTTAAGTATTTAAAAGTCTTGGGGGTATTTAATTGAGATTTTAAAAAGTCTTACAAAATCACGACGTATTTAACTTATTTGAGACTAAGATTTGTTAAGACTTTTTAAAATTTAATGGGATTTCTAAAAAAAAACCTTATTCAAAATCTCACTTCAAATCACACTTCCTTTGAGATTTCGCAGAATTCCTCCAAAATCTGAAAATCTTAAAGTCTCAAATCTTAAAAAGTCACAAAATGTCACTTAAAATCCGGATTGAGCAAGTCTTACGTGTCCGTTGAAGACTATATCCACACCATACTGGTAAAGTAAATCCTCCATAGCTACTTTCATACATTCAGCCTCTCGGTAGTGTGCCGTGAAAGTGGTGTACCAAGGCGGGTGCCATGTGGCAACTAACCATGGAGTCACTTCTCGATCAACTTTCGCCAGATCCTTCTGCAGCCATTTGTATTGATCGTCTGATTCGAAAGAGCCCAACAGGATCAAGGTACAAATAATAATGTAATTATCTATCTGGCATTAACCTGAAACATATTTTGAATTTCTGATTACCTGATTTATTGTAGGCAACATATCCACCTAGGACTATAAAATGTATGCCACCCGCATTAAAAGAATAATAGAATGGAGAAGAAGATCCGCTTTCGTTAGACGGAAATGCGAATCGAGAAGCGTAGGAAGCAAAAGTCTGATTTTCAGCCTGTTCTTCTATTTCATGGTTCCCTTGCACCATCATTATTGGAATTTTAGATATCACTGGCTGCATAAACCTGAAAAAACAGATCTTGGCCGCAACGAAAAAGAGTTAGTTTCCTTCAAAGTTGGCATATGCTGTTAAATGAGTTATAACTTATTACAACAAAATGCAACTTGGACCAAAAGAATGAAACATAAATTCCTCGATTTCAGGGAAACAGTGCTTGCAAAAATCCTACAGGAACTGGAAGCTATATCCGGATTGTGATAGGAAACCGACATAAATCATCAATTGAATATTTAGAAAATGATAAAGCCACCTCATGTCACAAAAAGATTTAGAAAAAAAGGGCTTTCAGTAAATGGTTTTGGGTTACAAAAAATAAAAAAAAAATAAAATAAAAAAAATAACATTCACATCAACATTGTCAAAATCGAGACAAATATAATTCAAAAGAGGGAGGTAATTTACTTAATCTGTAATTACCTTCCCCAATAATCCCAACGTGGCTGATAGGTCTCGTGTATAGGAGTATCAGCAAATGAGCAAGAGTAGCAATCAGAACCAGTCCCGTTTGTGAGGTACAAGTTAGCATAGGTCACGTCCCCAACCAACAATATAAGATCCGGCTTATTGCTTGCCAAATGATCAACTGTGGAAGTAGAGTTGTATGTAAGGCCCAAATCTCCCATAACGGCTATACGACTTGGGTAGCTTTTAGGACAAGAAGCCGGCATTGTTTTGAAATGATAAATCCCACTCATTGCAGGTATTGATGGGTCCCCACACCTATAGTGATATAGAGTGTTTGGCTCAAGACCTGCACAAAACAAAATCAATCACATAAAATACTTTTACAGCTCAAAAGGCTTCTAAACATTTTCTGCAGTTATTGAAATTCTTTTCAGCTGCATTCGTGAGATGACCAAGAACAAATATATAGTAAAAGATCTAAAGATAAATGTAAGGAAACTACCAAAGGTAATAGACTAGCATATAGCGGGACTTAAGAGTTAACCTAGTTCACAATTTAGCTATCAATAAAAACTGAGTTTTGGAAACTAGATATGAATCTTTTATTCCTCCAGACCCAAAAATTCTTCATTTTCTATGAAGGAGACATATTGTTATTTGTTTTTATTTTAAACATCAGAAACAATGATATCAGTGGAATTTATAGTCTTATCAAGAAAACAATCTGAATTTAAAGTGATTGCCCAAATAAAATCACGAAGTAGTAAGAAACTTTCCAAAGGATAAATAAGAATAAGGACTCGCAAGAAGTCTGTTGAGATACCTGTAAGACGGACATGATGAATAATCCCAGAAGTATAATTCTGGAGGCCCTCAAAAGGGTATAGTTGACTGTAAACGAGCGATTGCCCCTTGGCTTTGTGAGTCATAGGATATCTCAACTTTCCATAGTGAACCACACTTGCAACAGTTTTTGGGTTCAACGGTTTTATGTTATTGCCGATTTGAAACTTCCCTACAATTAAAATCAGCATCGTCACTATCCTGAGTGATAAGATAATCAGGAGATAGGCACTGTTATACCCTTTACACTCACTGTTCCATTGACATAGTCAAACAAAATCACAGTATTACTGTACATTACCTAATTCCGATGAGCCTTTTTTGTAAAAAAATAAATAAATAAATAAATAAATAGACAACGAAATTGCCAGAACAGTCAGACAGTCTGCTAAACTTGGCGCCATTTAATGTAAAAATACGGCCTCTCTCTAACAATAAACTTGTAAAAATAAAATCCAGTACACATCACCTCCGTCCCAACTTTGCTATGAACCATATTTGTTCAAGATAAAATAAACAATAACATTCTCTAATCACATAAATTTGTAGAAATAAAAGGAATAAATTCAGCAAAAAGAACATAGACAAATTCAAACCTGTAATCCAAGAAATCCAGACTGAATCATAATTGGAGGATAGGGAAACTGAAATTTGCTCAGGCCCATAACCTGTAACGTTTCTTCGGACTCTGGGATCGTTATCGGGCAAATCAATTGCATGTCCCCTGAAACTTTTATCCAACGGCACAGTTACCGGAATAAACGGCCCCTCAAGGGTCGTCGGAATTTCACCGCCAATTTGAATTACAGCGTTCCAAATAAGAATAAGAAAAATAATTAATATATCCCCTGCAATTTGAAAAGCTTGCAGGGCCATTTTCTGGGAAAATACGCTTAAAGGTAAAACCCAAATCAATTTCTCTTTAAAAAATTAAAAATAAAGAGAAAAGCACGAACAGAAGAAGAAGAGAGAAGCGAGAGTTGAAAGCAGAGGAATCGTTTTCTCGATTTGGGCTGTCCAAAGGACGTGTATATTTTTCGGCAAATTGCAATAGCATTTAGAATATCAAATAATCTGAATGACAAATATAAAATCGCATTCGGATCCTATCGCGCACCGCCCATGCACGCGTGTATATAGATTATTACGATTGTGAAAGCAAAAGGAATTGGATTGAATAACGAAAAGAAAAGAGAAAGACCTTTTTCAAGAGGAGAGAGGATGGCGTGAAACTGTTTGAGGTGGCTAAGCGAAAATAATTGTTCTCACGCATAGATGTTCGCGCGTGTGTAATGAAATGATGTGCTACAGGACGCGCCAGCGGTTGTGTCAGTTATACAGGCCTGACACGGTAAGGGGAGGAGTGCTGCAAATGGCCATTGAAAGGCATCACAAAGGCAATTTGGTGAAAATCAACACAAGCAAAAGCAAGTGGGTCGGCGCAAAAAAATTAAAAAAAGAGGGAAAAAAAAAAATCCCTCTTCCCCTTATCTAAAATCCGATCAACACAAGCAAAAGCAGGTGGGTCGATTACAGATTGTAGTCTTCTCGATCTCTCGTCTCCAGTCATCTGGTGGGTTCGTGACGGCTAGGCATGTCAAAACGGGCTTAGGCCCATGGGCCGCCCCGCCCCGCCCCGCGCTTAATAGGCGAGTTGGGCTGATGCTTTAAAGGCCCGCCAAAGAGCGGACCTAAGCGGGCGGCCTCGAGCGGGCCGCGGGTTTTGGCAGGTCGGGATAGCCCACCAATTTTTCAAGGTATTTTAAGGCATTCAACAACACAAATTTTCAAAGGCTAAAAGGTTCAAATATTTTAAACATGACAAGGCATAAAACGCATGGATCAAGGAACATCTCAAGGTTATAACAATCGAATATTCAAGGTCTTAAAGACTAAACATCTTTGGCTCTAAAGGTTTGACTTTTCACTTCAAAGCATCAAAATTCATATGGTTCATGGCACAATTTAGAGTCCAAACATTTTAAACTTTCACACAACCCTTTAATTTTCTCATAAATTCACAAGATCTCAAAAGATCTAAAACTTTACAAGAACCTTAAGCATTTTCTCAAATTCTCTTTGAACAATTTAGAAGAGGCTATTGGATTTAATACCTCTCCTCTTGAATCTACAAGCAAGGAGAAACGATAGATCCAATTTGAGGGTTTCGGCAATCTCGCGTGCTCGGCTACTTTGCTCGCGGGTCTCCTTGGCGGCTCTCGGCTACTCGCTCACGAACGGCCTCGCGTAAAGGGTTGCGTGTATCTCCTCTACAAGGCGCGGCGGTGTGCAAACATGGACTCGGTAAGTCGCTGCTGCAGGTGATGGGGTTTGGTCGATGCTCTCCGTTCTAAGTAGGATGGATCTGTTGAAAATAAATGCGGGACCGATCATAAGGGAAATGGCTAGTAACATGAAGGAAGTCCTGAGTGTTTTATTGTTGAATTTCAAGAGAAGACGGAAGGAACACCGACTGAAGGCAAATTGATGAATATTCTTCAAGTTGATGGGCTAGATTGTTCGCATAAAGACTAATCCATGGATTGAAGACTGACATTCGTCCATTGAGTGATGCCCAATTGAAGTGTCCATTATTTTGTCCATTTTCAGCATTTGTGAGACCAAAATATCTCTTAAGTTGTCTTAGAAGTCAAAAGGTCATTCAAACTTCATGTAAGCTTATTTATGTGGTCAATAGTGTCTCTTTAGTGCATCATGAGTGTAACACCCCGCTCATCAGAGTAAATTTTTCGCAACTTTTACTTCGAAAATACTTATAACTCTTTCGAAATCTTTTGCGACTAACTCGGGATGCTACTCAAACTCATCTTTTCTGGAAATCCGTTTATCTTTAAACTTTGTCTAATACTTCGTTAGACATAAAGAAAATAGATTTAATTAAACTTGCATTTAACTATATCATATTCCTACTTCTGAAATGATAAAAACTTGAAATCTGAAATTTATTAGAATGCAAGTTCAAGTCTCAATATGCGTAGCGGCAATACTTAATAACGTGAATAATTATACAGACATATCAAGTTCATAATAAATGTCCACTTAAAGAAGTGCACGACCACCACCACCACTTCTTGAGCTCACACCTCCAGCCCGACCCTGTTACCTGAAAAACACAATGGGGGTGATTACTGATCCTCTTGTACCCCGAAATCACCCATACTAAAGTAAACAGCAATAATAATACAATATCATGATCTTTGGTATATATCTTGACTGGAAATCTGTTCCAGTAACTTAAACTGAATCTGGCCGATATCTAATCGGATACTTGTGCACAATCAGATGGATATTTCTCAAGGCAACTCAAACGGCCTCCATCAGAACTTAGGATATACTCTGAGACAACTGAATGCCTCCTCATCCCAAGCGTATAAACTTAAACTGTATACATACCTCGAACATGATATCAATATTATACTCAATGTAATACCCAGTCTGGGTCCCCACCTTCCTTCTTTTGAAACTTTGAAAAGCGTAAGTGTTGTTCTTTGGTAGCTAACTCCTCAAGCTACATAACAATATAAACAAATATACTAACTATTATGCTCGTATACTCAATAATATGCTGGGATTCTTAACTCTACCAGATAACTTATCTGAATCTTAAAGATATTCATTAAACATGTTATTGCTCAAATGAATACTAAATCATTGAAAAACCAAACTTTTCTTAAACTTTTACTCAAGGTCAAATACTTAACCCATATAAATCATATCTTTCAAAATCTTAGATATTGGCTTATACTCGCATGTCACTTAAATAACTCGTATGTGAAAATAAACTAAATTTCACATTAGACTTAATTGAATACATGAACTCAAAACATGCTCAATTTTTACTAATATCATATACATGATTTATACGGATTTTTAATCTATCAAACTTGTCTTAAACCTGCTTGATATTAAAATCTCAAACTTGATACTTATTCAATACAAGTTTTTATCATAACAATAAATTATGATATTGATATACTAGACTTGAAACAATTTTATAAAATCACATACTCAACATATTGAGCTGAAACTTGGTCAAATTGCTCATCACTCATATAAGAATTTTTTCTAAAAATTCCATTTTAAAAACTCAACCATGTACTGAATACTCTTGCATATAAAATCTTCTTGACATGTATGCCATATAAATATTTTAACTCGTTCATTTCTCAACATAAAATCATGAAATTTGGCAGACATGTTCTTAACCCATATATAAGCATGTCGTAAAAATTTCATAATTTTATCATGCGTATATATCGAGTTATTACAATTTTAAAGTCACAGCTGAAATAAAGAACATAAAATTCAACTTGCATGCTTAACTTCAAAAATTTATAACTCAAGCTATACTATGCCAAATGACATAATTCTTTCACCTATATACTCAGCACTTACACAAGAAATATCCATAATAAGCTTAACATGCCAGGTTATGCATATCATGCTCAAATTCAAATCAAAACAGTACATATATAACATGTGATTGTGCTGGAAACAACTTATCATTTTTTTTTCCATGCTTAAAATTTCTTTAAAAATTGAATATATATATATATATATATATATATATATATATGGCATGAAAATACATCAATATTCACTTAATATAAACTATAACATATGATAAAAAGGTAGCATCTAACCTTCTTCAAGAAATTTGAAAATGAAACTTCGGAAGTTGATCTCAACTTATCTTCGTCAAGATTTCTCTCGATTTATCTCTCTTTCTTACCCTCTATAGCTAAGACTTTGCTTATTATGATGTGAATTTCGAGCCTATGCTGATGCTCCTTTATATAGGGTAGCAAAGGAGACAACATCACCTTCTTTACATCAACACTCCATCATAATAAACACCATAGGCCCCTTATCATTAATGTTTTTCTAAAATCTTGCACAAAGATGATTAAGCCTTGATAAGTACTTGTAATGCATGATTTATCTTGCATATATCAAGACAAACTTTCTCCCTTTGACCATGCCTCGAAATTAAGCTAAAATGGCTCATTTATCCCTTAAAAATACTTAGAAAAATTTTATAAAAATAAATAAAGATAAAGAATGGAAATTATAACTTGTAAACATAACAAATCTATATTCAATACTTAGAAAGGCCCATCATGTGATCCTAATCTGATTTCCATGATAAAATTCGTGACTTAATGAAAAATTTCCAATTTACAGAACCGAATTCTGACTTAAAATGAACGGTTACCGAAAAATCGAAAATTCTAAAAATTTCAGATTTCCATCTTTTGCTTTTTGGCCTTTTTCCTTTTTATGCTGAAAAATTTTAACTCTTATTAATGATCTTGAAACTTGTAAAAAATACAAGAAAATAAATTTTTCGGAAACGAAATCGGACTTAATTATCGACTACAACCGAACATCGAAAAAACTCGAAACTTTTTTTTTTTTCCAACGACATAACAAATTTCATTCCAAAACAAATGGAGAATGTACACAAGGGATAACCCCTACCAAATAAATACAGAGAGGCCATGCACAACTGCAGCCTAACCGAAACAGAAACCCAAAAACAATAACATACATACTAATCGAGCATGCTAATACATCCAATGGACTAATCAGAATACAGACTTTTCCGCAAACTAAAGACAAACCACTGCTAATGCTAGCCTAGCCTATCCTCAGTTCAACACTAAAATGAATTCGAGCTTGAGTTTGAGAAGTCCATCCAATCCCTACATGCAGCCTTTATGATCCATCTTTCTGGTAGTTTCTCTTCTTCAAAAACCCAAATATTCCGGGCTCTCCAAAGCCACCACAGTATATAGGTGGATAATTGGATTCGGTGTTCAGCTATTGATTTAGAAGGCATAGAGCTGATCCACCACCACCATTGCTTGAAGCTAAGCTGCTCTTGACTGACTCTGTTCCATTTCACATGTGCAATCTTCCACACCTTCTGTGCTCTTTCACAAAGGAACAGCACATGTTCCTGGCTTTCTGCAGCCTCCCCACAAACTTTACACCGGATATCAAGATCAAGACCCCTGGATTGCAGATTCACATTTACGGGCAAAATATTATTAATACATTGCCATATGAAATGCTTAACTTTCCCAAGTACCTTCACATCCCAACACCTTAACCTGGCTTTTTTGTTGTTACCAGCCAAATAGCTACACTCAGCCACCTCAGACCTGCATACATTTGCAGCAGACAAGATCCTATAAGTGCTTTTAACAGAAAACTTCCCTTTGTCAATGAAGGGGCACTGCCATTGATCAGCCAACAAAGGGTTCAGTGTTTTGATATTCAAAATTTTTGCTGCATCCTCCTCAGAAAATAATGCTTGAACCAGATTTTGATCCCAACTGCAGCCACCAGCAATTAACAAGTCTTTCACCCAGAACATTTGCTCATTTATAAGCACCCTTAAGGAAGGTTTCCCCCCAGCCACTCCTTGCACCCATTTGTGATCAGACAGCTTGGTCCTAGCACCATTTCTTATCAAAATAGTTAGGTGATTCTTGAGCACAGGGAGGACTGAAGCCCAAGATTTCCACAACCAGGAATCACCATTAGAATTCCTCCAATCAAAAATGCTAGAATCAGGAAAATACTTACCCTTTAAGACTTTGCTGACCAAAGAATCTGGTTGATCTATGAGCCTCCACAATTGCTTCAGAATCAGAGCTTTGTTCAGAGTTTTGATGTCTAAGAAACCCAGTCCTCCATCAGCTTTAGCTCTGGTCATTTTATCCCAAGATTTCCAGTGAAGGCAGTGGTCTTGTGATCTGCTTTTACTCCACCAAAACTTAGCCATCAGCCTGCAAATGTTTTTACACAACCCAACTGGAATCAGAAAACATGACATCACAAATATTGGTAAAGCCTGCAGCACTGACTTAATTAAGACTTCCTTCCCAGCTGTTGATAGAAGATTGTTTTTCCAACTCTCAATTCTGCACCTAACTGAATCCCCCACAAATTGAAAAGCATCCATTTTAGATGCCCCAATCCCCAAAGGGAGACCCAGGTATCTAGAGGACCTCTTCACCACTACACCTCTCAGAATAGTGCTTGTGTTCACAATCAAATCAGGATCACAGTTTTTACTCAAAAACATTGAAGACTTGTGCAAATTTACTTTCTGCCCTGTGAAACATTTATATTTATGCAAAATCTCCAACAACAGCCGAGCATGAGATTCATCAGCCTTGCAAAACACTAGAGCATCATCAGCAAATAAAAGATGTGATAACATAGGGCCCTGCTTAGAAATTCTGATCCCCTTAAACTGACCACAACTGCTCTTAAAATGCAAGTAGGATGATAGCACTTCAGAAACAATAATGAACAAATAAGGTGACAGGGGATCACCCTGCCTAATCCCTCTAGAAGCTGTAACAAAACCACAGTTTTCCCCATTCAAATTGAAAGAAAAAGTAGGGTTAGAGATGCACCCATAAATCCACTTCACAAAGATCCTATGGAAACCCATTTTCACCATCACTTTCCTGATACTATCCCATTCCACTCTGTCATAAGCTTTTTCCATATCCAATTTAACAGCCATAAATGTATGAGGCCCAGATCTATGTCTATGGAGAAAATGAAACACCTCATGAGCAATCACCACATTATCTAATAAATTCCTCCCCGGGACAAAAGCTGTTTGAGCACTACAAATACAGGAATCTAAGTAAATGGAAAGAGTAATCATCAAAGTAGCAGAATCTTTAACGACCTTTGATGAAGTGAGATAAAAAGGAAGGATACTTCTCACCTGGATGTCAAAGCATTTAGCATCCATTAAGAGGTTGTTAAAGAAGTAAATACTAGTTCCTCCATAGAATATGTTGATGTTATGTTTGCCTAACTCTTTTACGAGTTGGCTTACAACATAAATGTTGTGAGGAACATTTACAAATTTAGAACCACCAAGAATACAAACAGTTCGGAGGGGCTGAAGAAGTTTGGAACCTTGAGAAGACTCGGCAGTAGCCATTTATTATGAGAATTAATTGGCTAAGAAGAAAGATTTGCCTTTTAAAGAAGAGAAGTTCAGACAAGAAAGGAGTTGAGTCTTAAATGACTCTTATCTGTCAGAAGCGATAAAATTTATGTACAGTACAACAGTGACATCAAGAACAGTGTTGACAATCATGATCAGTGGAAATGGTATTTTTCAGACTATAAAGTTTTTCTTCATGTCTGAACAGAAGCCATAAAGACATCAGTTCTCGATGCACATATCCACTAGAATGTGTATCAAGAATCTGCTGAAGAGTTTGATCCAGAGATTCCTTACTTAAGCCATTTTTGATGAAGGTTATTTTATCTTCTCGATTATTTGAGACAAAGCCCAAAGAAGTACAGCGAGTGTCGCAGTTCCAGCGAGCACATTTATGGCAGCCACCTAATCTTTTTGCTCTACGTTTCTTAGCAAAAGTGCTTTTACCATACCTGACAGATATTTGTATGCGTTGGGATATTCGCCAGATACACGGACCTTTGCTTCGATCAGCCATCTTATATCATTTGGGATATTATTGAGCATGAGTATTCTTAATCTTTCTACTCGAGCTCGATAAATTCTCTTTATGATATTAAGAGGAAGAAAGGAATAGAATTTTCGAATTTTTAGCAATGCTAAATCCATTGATGAATCGGACCATTGTTGAGGAAGATGGAAGGATTAATGAAGGAGTTATAAAGAGGAGATGAGTATGAGATAAGTTGCGAGGTATGATTAAANAAAATAGGCTGACATACCATCCTCCCCTGGTGCCTTATCAGATTCCATTTTGAACAGAGCTTCCTTGATCTCCACATCTTCCACAGGCATTATAAGAGTGTTATTGAGGTCTTCAGAAATAGAATGGGAAATATGCTGCAACATCTCATCCTCCTCAGAGCTGCCTTCAGATGCAAACAGATTTGAATAAAATTCCTCCATATGAGTAGCAATGGTTTCCTTAGTATCACACACCTCTCCTCCCCTGGTAACCAGTCTTTGGATAAAATTTGTTTTCCTCCTCTGAGCTGTAAAAGCATGAAAAAACCGGGTGTTTCTGTCCCCCTCCTTAAGCCACAGGGCCCTCGATTTTAGCCTCCAGTAGTTCTCTTCCTCTTTGTGAGCATAGTCCAGGTCAGCTTTCAAACTCCCCCATTCATCCCAATCCCTCTCATAGCCAGTTCTTCTCAGATCCTCCAGCTTCTCTGTAAGAACTTTGACTGCTTTCTCACTATTTCTATGGACCGATTTATGCCAGGCAAGCAAAGCCATTCTGGTATGTTTAATCTTCTGATGGACTTGGTACATATAAGAACCCTCTACATCAACCTGCCAACCAGCTTTAATAGCCTCTTGAACCCCTTCCATCATAGCCCAAGATTTATCAAAGGAGAACCTTTTCTTGCCTCTACCAGCTTCCATCTCAGTGGCAAACAGTAATACATTGTGATCTGATGCAGTTCTGTAGAAATTTATCACTTTCATCTTAGGAAACTCTACCAACCAGTCATAAGATGTGAAAACTTTGTCCAGTCTCTCTTCTACATACCCATCCCCCTCTCTATTGTTGCCCCAAGTGAAGAAAGATCCCTTTTGATCACACTCCTGCATCCCCATATTCTGAATAAAAGTTTTAAAACCTCTAAAGCTAGCCTCCAGCCTCCTCACCCCTCCTCTTTTCTCATCATTGCTTATAATGTCATTCCAATCCCCAGCTATAACCCAACATCTACCCCAATTTGCCTTAGTTCTCTCCAGGAAATCCCACTGACTAACTCTCTCACTCCTATCAGTACTTATGTAAACAAATATAAACCAACACCACTCCCTCATCCCTGGCCCTTTGAGTTCCACCTGAATACAAAACTCATTGGCTATGATTTGCTTAATATCTGTATTAACATCCCACATAACAAGCAAGCCACCTCTGGTTCCCCTTGGCTTCTCCAGCTGCCACCTACTACCATACCCCAACTTCCTACAAACAGTATTTGTAACATCCCTCTCAGTTAATATGATAGTAACAAGTTATAAATGTTCAAAGAAGTGAGAAAATTTATTTAGACATTTTAGTCTATTTAAATTATTAGAGAGAAATATGAAATTTTTAGAATTTGCGTTTTTCGATTGTAGTCGGAATTTAGGTCCGATTTCAGTTCCGAGAAATACATTAAATTATTTTCTCTCTATATTTTTAGTAGAATACAAGATAAGAAAAAATTTTTCAGCATAAAAATGAAAAATACCAAAAGAAAAGAAGGAAATTCGAAAACTGTAAGAATTTTCGATTTTACGGTAACTGTTCGTTTTAAGTCAGAATTTGGTTCCGTAAATTGGAGAATTTTCACTAAATCTCGAATTTACTCATTAAGATCAGATTAGGATCATAATAGGGGCCTTTCTAAGCATTGACTATGAGTTGGAGAAGTTTACATGTTAAGAATACTATTTATTATTTATATTTATTTTTTTCAAGTTTGTATTGTTTATTATGATCCAAAATTCACTCTATTTGGATGTTTGTCCAAATTATCCAAAGAAAATTTCTAAGTATATAATATGTTTGGAGAGTTGAATAAGTTGATCATAAAATATTTTATGAGTATTTAAAGATAAAAGTTACATTTGTTTATTATGAACAAAAATTCACTCTATTTGGATATTTCTCACAATTGTGCCTATAAATAGAGGCCTAAAATTCAGAGTTTTTCACACCAAATTAAATTTCCAAAGTTAAATAAGAGTGAAAGAGAGAATGAGTGGGATAAACTTTGGAGAAGTAAAGAAGAATGAAGTTTTTACTCTAGCAAGAAGGAGGTAATTTACTTATCATAAAGTTACATGTTTAAGTTCATGTTTTGAAAATGAGTTTACATGTTTATGAGTATGTATATCATGATTTAGAAGTTGAAGTTTATAATTGATACAAAGAGTTAAAGATGTTAAAGATCAATTATATAATATATGTACTTGAGGTGATAAGATGATGAATTGCATGAGATTTTCATAAAGATATGAATATGCTGGAAAAGTATGATTTAAGTGAATGATTCTTATGTAAAATAGGAGTTCATGAGAACAAGAATTAAGTTATTTGGCAAAGTATATCTTAAGATATGAATTTTTAAAGTTTATCATGCAAGCTGAATTTTATGTACTTGTTTCCAGCAGCAACTTTAAACTTGAATAAGTCGAGATATATGCATGATAAAATTATGAAATTTTGATGACATGTCTAATTATAAGTTGAGATTATGACTGTTAAGTTTCATAATTTAAAGATGAGAAATGAATAAGTTATGAATATAAGAAAGCATATATGTAAAGATAAGTATATATGCAAGAATATTCATGAAATGGTTAAGTTATTAAAATGAGATGATCATGAATAATTCTCATATAAGTAATTTTATGATATTTTGGTATAATATGTTGAGTATACAATTTTATAAAAATTGTATTAAGTATGACATATTAACATCATAATTAAATATTATGTATAAAAGATGATTATGGTATTTTAAATGCAAGTTTAAAGGAAATCTGTTTTAACTATGTCTAAAAAAAAATATTAGACAAAAAGTTTAAAGATAAACGGATTTTCAAGATGATGAGTTTGAGTAGCATCCCGAGTTAGTCGCAAAAGATTTCGAAAGAGTTAAGTATATTCGAAGTAAAAGTTGCGAAAAATTTACTCTGATAAGCGGGGTGTTACAGTATTAGTAAAGGCCCATGATTTTTTGGTCTCTGAAAGAAAAACAACATTTGGGTGGTGGACTCTTAAAGAATCCTTTATCTGGGAAATTGTAGAGGGCCCACCCAGCCCTCTACAATTCCACACCTTGACCTTCATTTATCACCTCGGGGCCAATTTAGGCTGGCCTTCTCCACCTTCAGCTCATCACTATCCACTTTCAACTTTTTCCCAGCTACCCCCTCTTCGGCATTTTTCTGCTCAACATCATATATAATCAGCTCCCTACTCCTCTTGCTTGACTTTGACCCTTCTTCACCTTCTCCTTTCTCATATTTTTTCTCATTCATCCTCAGTAATCTCCCTGCACTTGTATGATTCCTCTTCCAGGTAGCCCCAGCCTTCCTCTCCCCCACAACTATTTCCTTGCCTTTTAGCCCCATCACTTGATTAGAATTATCACAAGGAATTAGAGGTTCAGTCTCCATTATTGCTTCTATCCCTTCCACTACACACTCCATTGCGCTTGGATTGAACCCTTCTTCTAATGGAATAATCTCTAAGTCTCTGGATATGTGGTTCCTTATTGCTGCTCCCCTGTTAACCCCTACTTCTTTCCCAGCACTCTTAGAAGATCCTTCCCCTTTGTTTTGTGCCGACTTGGAAGGAGTAGCACTGGCAGAGACTATGGACTCTTGGTTAGAATTTTGCTTTGGTGGAACACTTTTCTCCTCTGAGCTGGTGGCTTGGAAATTTCTGCCCCCATGATATGTCTCCTTTGCTTTGAGCCATTCACCAAATTGACCTTCCACAGGTTTCCCCTTCTCAATGTCCTCTGCCCTCTTCTTACACCCCCTATCCAAATGCCCTATCATGCCGCAGTAGTAGCATAAGTTAACCAAACGCTCATACCTAAACTCCACCATAGAACTTTTATCTCCCAGTTTGACTACTGTGCATCTCGGGATAGGTTCTTTCAAATTCAATTTAACCAGGATTTTTAGAAAGCTCCCCACTTCACCACCCACTTTACAAATCACCACATTTTTCACTTTGTTGAATATCTGCCCAATTCTCATTCCCACTTCCGTACACATCCAATCGAGCGGCACATTGATTATTTGAACCCATATATTTATCTCCTCGAAGCATGGATGGTTGCTATGGAGCCCATCAACCCATTCAGTCAGTATGAGATACTGGTTTTCAAACAACCAGTTATTACCCGCAGCAACCTTTGCTTTATCCTCCATTGATGAAAAGATGAATTGAAAAAAGTTTGAGCATATCTCCTTGACTTCCATCGATTGCTGTAACCTCCAGATACTTGTCATTGTACGTTTAATACCCATAATACTAGCTGGTCTATCCCCAACCACTTTCCCGAACAGACTCCTCTCACATTCAACCTTGCTAGCTTTCACATCATCAGTACGCAGCTCCACCCCACCCGCCTCCTTATCAGAAAGCGAAAAATAGTGCAATTTCCGCATAACATCCCCGCTCACCTCACCCCCTAACTCCGATCCCCCATCATTTTCAGCCATCTACCACTCCCCGAAAAAAAAACCCCAAATAGAACCCTAGATAACAAAATCACAATAACCCAAACCCGACTCTCACCTACTCCTCTGAATACTAGGCCGTAAACAACCCTCCACTAGAAGGATATAGATCTCAAGAAGATAATATGACTCTCAACGAGAGAATTTGGCTCTCAAACGAGAGAAAA